ATATATATATATATATATATACCTGAGCTGAGTTCTCGGTATACTAGGAGAAACTGCAAGTCATGAATAGAGCTTTTATATAGATTCTATTATATTCGGTAGAATAGCCCTTTATTTATTTTCACTTGTTTGTACATCAATATGCTTTACAAAGAATTCCCCACACTGCCTGTTTTGTACACATGCATTCATTCAGGCAGTTCTTAGTATTTATTTGTACCAACCTGAGGTGATATGTGTTGTTTATTAGACATACTGTAGCTGTTTATTAAATTGAGTTTCTAATTAGATGTTGAGTGAGGAATGTTGACTGTCTCTAAATTGCTGTGCTAGACAATGGAAGAAGAATTATCCGACACGAAGCCTCTGAACACCAGTACACTTAAACGCACAAGCAGAGCCAGGGGATCTGTCACCAGTCAGGTAAAACAGAAATACGTCTTATTTATCATTTAATTGTAAAAATGTCAATTACTTTCTGTTGCTTGCTTATAATTTTTATTATTTTAGTTTTCATTTAGTTTTGTGCAATAGTAGATGCAACACACAAGTGCATATTCGTCTCTCTTAGTTTTGAACGATCTGTCAGTAACAATAGATAAACACCACAAGGGAAAGTTGTTATGCTGACACTAATGGTATAATGAATTAATGATTTAGATTGATATTCATTTATTAATATATTATCGTTCACGGGTTAATTCATTTTCATTCCTATTAGATTAATGTTTGTTTAGACCGCAGTAATTTAAAATCGAATAATTATATATGTATTAGTATGTGAAAAAATGTGTATAAACTAGAGGTGTAACGGTACATGTATTCGTACCGAAAATTTTCGTGACGGGTCTTACGGTTCGGTATGCATGTGTATCGAACAAATACAGCATTGTTTTAACCACTGCACGAGTGAAACTTCATTGGAAACTTCCAGTTTTATATATTGTTACTTTTGATAAGAAACAGTGTCATCTTTCAAATTATGTCCATTTTTTACGTGAAATAAACTTGAATGAACAACTAATGCCTCACGTAATCGCTCAATCAGTGTTTTAACTGTGGAAAGACATCAATAAAATAGCTTGTAAACAAAATGTCACGTAGCATTTAATTAGTGTCCACCGCTAAAGAAATTAAGTGCAGAGAAGAGCATTTCGCGAAATATTAGACTATATACTCATTATATTTTACTTTACCGATGTCTTAATTATTTAATGTATGTTTAAATACATCTGTTATGAAACAAGTTTTGACAGCCACTGTGTAAATGAATATATTTCAACAACAAATAGAAATTTTATCATTTAGAAGTTAATTTAAAAACTGCATTATGTGCAATTTACATGTTTGCATACAATTTTTATATATTTTTTTAAGTTGTGTTGATTATTATATTTAAAAATAAATAGTAATTACATTTAAGTTTGGGCTCTGTTGTTAATTGTAACCTTATAGTAATTTAAAAGAGCTCCCTATAATTTAGAGCAGAAGCTGAGGTAGATTTTTATCCCTAGGAAAATATAATTGAATTTATTTAAAGAAAGAGCAATTTGTTTAGAATACCACGGTTTAATAAAATTTTTTGGTAACACTTTATTTTGATGGTCCCTTTTGAACATTCTGTTGACAAAAAATAATGTTGCACCTACATGTCTACTAACTCACAATAGAGTATTAGAAGACTTTCTGCTTAATATCTGCTAACTCTTTATTGTGATGGTCTCCCAACAGATATTCTACTGACTATAAGTAACTTTGCAAGTACATGTCAACTTATTCTAACCCTAACCCAACCAGTCTACTAATACTCTACTAACACTCTAATGAGAGTTAGTAGACATGTAGGTGCAACGTTACTTATAGTCAACAGAATGTGTTAAAGGGACCATCAAAATAAAGTGAAACCAAATTTTTTTTAGTTTTTTTCCCCCGCTGTACCGAAACCATACTGAACCATGATGTCAAAACCGAGGTTCATACCGAACCAACATGTTTACTGTTTAAAATGTTGGGGTCAGTAGGATTTCTAATATCTAATCTATTAGAGTTGTGGCACGTCTTGTCTCAATAGATGAATTTGTTGCTTTTGTTGCATTTGCTAATTTTTTATTAAAATCATCTACTTTTATGAATATATGCACATATTTCTCAGTCCATTGATTATGATAATCAAGTTAATATTAATGATACTCATATCACAGAGTTCGTCCGGTAGCTGTCCGCTGGTGCTAGATTCGTCAGAGATCTCCACGGAAACAGGCAGATGTTCCAGGTTTCCGCAGCCCGAGATGGAAATTTCCTTCAGCCCTCTGCAGCCGGATCGGTTCGCTCTTAAGCGGCAGGGTGAAGACTCCGCTGTTACTGTAAAAATCTCCCGACCCACACGCAAGAGGAAGAGTGGAGAGATGGAGAAGGTGAGAAATGAAATGGATGGAGGGGGTTTAGAAAATGGTTCTCAATTCACACAAATTAGAATCTAGTGCTGTGACTGGAATGACCTTCAATCATCTTGTGCTTGAGCTGTATGTCTAATCTTTTCAATTTCTAGCCTTAGAATCATGGGAAATTGAGTAGAATGTTAGTTCAGATTTATCACAGTGTTCAGTCCTTTTCCTCCCCTTTAGTTGATTATTAAAAAATTATTATTGATATTCTTCATAAAACCAGCAGACCATCTGCTGCTGACCTAATCTGCACAGCCAGCAGCCCTTTAATTGTCCTAATTAGTCATTAACAAGGCTCCAATTTTCCTCACTTACGCTTAACGATCAGTGTTCATTGTGCATGGGCAGCAAAATTGCAGTCCTATTAAGCATATAGTTCCGTGTGTGAGAATAGATTTATATGTGTGTGTGGTTGAGCGTGCCTTGGCCTAACCTCACACACTCTTCTCCAGGCAACATAAACACTTGCGGACACTTGTTTTGGGAGCAATAACAATAATTATAGAATACACAGTAAGTTTATAGATTTCTAAAACCTGTTTATGGAAATGTAATTGAATTGTTCAGACAAAGGGATTACAGATGCACAAATTCAAATCTACCATAAACGCCGACTAAACCGGGTGTTAACTTTTTATTATATTACACTTTATAAGGGTAGATATGCACTTAAGAGTCTCTAGTCTGGGTAGGTCATGCTATTCTCTCCGAACACCACAGTGAAGATGTTATGTTGCACACTGAAAGAATGCTTTCCATTCCAAATAAGTGCTTTCTTATTGTCAAAGAATCGTGTGCTCTCTCGCCAGTTGTCCCTGGCAACAGTCACGCTTCCACATGCTCTGTAGCTGCTAATTGTTGGAGAGTTTTGTAATTGAATGGCACAAACTATTTTTAATGGTGCTTCTGGTCACTTGAAGAGGAAAGGGGCAGAAGCAGTGTGGTGAAAAAGAAAGCTTTTTCTGAACCCAGTTCTCAGGTACCCTCTTCCTGTTTAATCCTGTCATAGCTCTTCCACCTCATCGCTCAATCAGTGTTTTAACTGTGGAAAGACATCAATAAAATAGCTTGTAAACAAAATGTCACGTAGCATTTAATTAGTGTCCACCGCTAAAGAAATTAAGTGCAGAGAAGAGCATTTCGCGAAATATTAGACTATATACTCATTATATTTTACTTTACCGATGTCTTAATTATTTAATGTATGTTTAAATACATCTGTTATGAAACAAGTTTTGACAGCCACTGTGTAAATGAATATATTTCAACAACAAATAGAAATTTTATCATTTAGAAGTTAATTTAAAAACTGCATTATGTGCAATTTACATGTTTGCATACAATTTTTATATATTTTTTTAAGTTGTGTTGATTATTATATTTAAAAATAAATAGTAATTACATTTAAGTTTGGGCTCTGTTGTTAATTGTAACCTTATAGTAATTTAAAAGAGCTCCCTATAATTTAGAGCAGAAGCTGAGGTAGATTTTTATCCCTAGGAAAATATAATTGAATTTATTTAAAGAAAGAGCAATTTGTTTAGAATACCACGGTTTAATAAAATTTTTTGGTAACACTTTATTTTGATGGTCCCTTTTGAACATTCTGTTGACAAAAAATAATGTTGCACCTACATGTCTACTAACTCACAATAGAGTATTAGAAGACTTTCTGCTTAATATCTGCTAACTCTTTATTGTGATGGTCTCCCAACAGATATTCTACTGACTATAAGTAACTTTGCAAGTACATGTCAACTTATTCTAACCCTAACCCAACCAGTCTACTAATACTCTACTAACACTCTAATGAGAGTTAGTAGACATGTAGGTGCAACGTTACTTATAGTCAACAGAATGTGTTAAAGGGACCATCAAAATAAAGTGAAACCAAATTTTTTTTAGTTTTTTTCCCCCGCTGTACCGAAACCATACTGAACCATGATGTCAAAACCGAGGTTCATACCGAACCAACATGTTTACTGTTTAAAATGTTGGGGTCAGTAGGATTTCTAATATCTAATCTATTAGAGTTGTGGCACGTCTTGTCTCAATAGATGAATTTGTTGCTTTTGTTGCATTTGCTAATTTTTTATTAAAATCATCTACTTTTATGAATATATGCACATATTTCTCAGTCCATTGATTATGATAATCAAGTTAATATTAATGATACTCATATCACAGAGTTCGTCCGGTAGCTGTCCGCTGGTGCTAGATTCGTCAGAGATCTCCACGGAAACAGGCAGATGTTCCAGGTTTCCGCAGCCCGAGATGGAAATTTCCTTCAGCCCTCTGCAGCCGGATCGGTTCGCTCTTAAGCGGCAGGGTGAAGACTCCGCTGTTACTGTAAAAATCTCCCGACCCACACGCAAGAGGAAGAGTGGAGAGATGGAGAAGGTGAGAAATGAAATGGATGGAGGGGGTTTAGAAAATGGTTCTCAATTCACACAAATTAGAATCTAGTGCTGTGACTGGAATGACCTTCAATCATCTTGTGCTTGAGCTGTATGTCTAATCTTTTCAATTTCTAGCCTTAGAATCATGGGAAATTGAGTAGAATGTTAGTTCAGATTTATCACAGTGTTCAGTCCTTTTCCTCCCCTTTAGTTGATTATTAAAAAATTATTATTGATATTCTTCATAAAACCAGCAGACCATCTGCTGCTGACCTAATCTGCACAGCCAGCAGCCCTTTAATTGTACTAATTAGGCATTAACAAGGCTCTAATTTTCCTCACTTACACTTAACGATCAGTGTTCATTGTGCATGGGCAGCAAAATGGCAGTCCTATTAAGCATATAGTTCTGTGTGTGAGAATATATTTATATGTGTGTGTGTGGTTGAGTGTGCCTTGGCCTAACCTCACACACTCTTCTCCAGGCAACATAAAAACTTGCGGACACTTGTTTTGGGAGCAATAACAATAATTATAGAATACACAGTAGGTTTATAGATTTCTAAAACCTGTTTATGGAAATTTAATTGAATTGTTCAGACAAAGGGATTACAGATGCACAAATTCAAATCTACCATAAACGCCGACTAAACCGGGTGTTAACTTTTTATTATATTACACTTTATAAGGGTAGATATGCACTTAAGAGTCTCTAGTCTGGGTAGGTCATGCTATTCTCTCCAAACAGCACAGTGAAGATGTTATGTTGCACACCGAAAAAATGCTTTCCACTCCAAATAAGTGCTCTCTTATTGACAAAGAATCGTGTGCCCTCTCGCTGGTTGTCCCTGGCAACAGAGTCACGCTTCCACATGCTTTGTAGCTGCTAATTGTTGGAGACTTTTGTAATTGAATGGAGCAAACTATTTTTAATGGTGCTTCTGTTTGCTTGAAGAGGAAAGGAGGCAGGAGCAGCGTGGTGAAAAAGAATGCTTTCTCTGAACCCAGTGCTCAGGTACCCTCTTCCTGTTTAATCCTACCACAGCTCTTCCACGTTCAGGACTCCTAATGGTCTGGACTCTCAGACACTCGGGGTCATGTTAATTTCCTCAGGTTATCCCACTGAGCTGGATATTGAATGTATAAATCCATAAATTGTGAAATTACTTTTTTTTTTTTTTTTTTTTTTTTTTGGCCCTCTTTTTATATTTTTTGTCATCATTTTTTTTTTTTTTTTTTTTTTTTTTTTTGGCCCTCTTTATATATATTATTTCACACTAAATCAATTTGGGCAAGTCTGTGTGATGGAGGTGTTCCATTAAATAGGTTACTGGCAAAGTTTGTCCTTAAAATCAACATGAAACCCAAATGGACTCTCTTTACTTTCTTAAAGGAACAGTTCACAAAAAAAAAAAAAAAAATGTCAGGATTTTTAGTCAGTTTTAGGTTTGACGTGCTGCACAAAGATTCTTCAGCACAGACCTGCCTAAAGAGTCCTCAGATATTTTTTAGTTCCACAGAAAAAAATATGAATGCAATGATAGAATGTTCATTGCTAAATCATCTATTCATTTAATACACATTACTGGTCTTATTCCTAATTCCTGGTGTAGGACTTTCCTTCTCACCTGTTTTTTTTTTTTTTACAAACAAGTATCTTGTGCTCAGCAAGTCTGCATTTATATGATCAAAAACACTGTAAAACAGTAATACTGTGAAATATTTTTCTGTTTGTATATAGTTTAAATTTAAGTTTTCCTTTGATGGCAAAGCTTTATATTCAAGCAGCCATTTCTCCAGTCTTCATATCAGTGTCACATGATCCTTCAGAAATCATTCTGATATACTGATTTGGTGCTCAAGAAACGTTTCTCATTAAAACAGTTGTGCTGATTAAGATTTTTGTGGAAACTGTGATTCTCTAATGAATAGGAAGTTCAGAAGAACAACATTTATTTATTTATTTATTTTTTAAATGCAAAGATTGTTTTTGTTTTGATCAGTTTAATGCATCATTGCTGAATAGAACTATCAATTTCTTACTGAGCCCAAACGTTTGAATGGTAGTGTACTTGGTCATTCTTTTTATCTACTCTTAGTGGTAGTGCAACCTTCCTGATTCCAGTTAGTGTAATAAAGATCACAGCAATAATAAATAACAATAGATGTGAAAGAGTGTTACCATTGGGATACATCAAGATGCTCTCCTCAAAAAGTGGATGCAGCTTTCAGACAGGAAGTCCTTCACAATCCATTGCAAACTGAAATTAGGTCTGGCTCTATTCTGAGATTAAATTTCCCACTTATTTACAATTCAATTTATTCCTTATGGTTAAAATCTATTTCATTCTCATTGAATATTCTTTTTTTACTCTGAAATGTGTCCCATTACGAAAGTAAAGTTTGCATATGCTGTTTCATGTTGAATTTAAAGGCTCTGTTTTAGCTTCCAAACTCATTTACTAAAAGCAGAACATGACCTAGCCTAGACCTCTTTGATCAAAGTACCTATAAAGTCTAAAAAGACAGAAATGAAATCTTATCAGTAGCCTTATTAACCCTTTAAAGTCCCTAATAAAGTTTTTGTGACCATTTCATCCAGGCCATTTGGTTAGAGTTCCTGATGGTGAAAATGCAGCTTATGAGTCATTATCCCACAAGCCTTTGATGCATCAAAGAAATAATAACCTTTCTATCAAGGTGGGTGTGTAAATGGAGTGGGTTTTGCTATATGGTTTTACAGATCCATTAGGGTGATATTTCATGTAAGAGCCATCTATGCCCTCAGTGCCAGGGCATTTGTTTCTACATGATGCATAAACGACAAAGGCTTTGGGAGATAATGCTCTGTAGAATTTAAAATAGACCCATAATTCATCATTCACTCATCAAATCCTCAAGATCATGACTTTTCGCATTTAATTGGAGGAAATCATTGTGATCCTGCAATACCTTCACCCTCGACACCTCTGAATTATTGTAATTACACTTTCCGATTTCATGGCAGGGAAACACCAGCACCTGACTGCAGAACCAGCCATCATTCTTGATCTCTCACGCATTTCCCTCGGATACGATTGAATGGTGAACGACTTGGCAGGTTCCTGGAAGTCAGGGCATTAGTCTTCTTTTAATGCGAGCTTGCAAGTCAGAGAGTGGCATAGTATCTCACCTCCCAACACTGGAAACAGCAGGTGACAGGTGTGACAGACAGAGATCCGCCCCTGTCCGCCCTGTTTAGACTGGCGGGGGTTACGAGCGTGGCATTGGCTGTCACATGCAATGTCACAGATGTGATCTTGTTGTCTAGAGAGAGAGAGAGATAGCGACAGGAAGGGAGTGATGGAGCGAAAACGCAGAGAGGTTGGTGAGAGAGAGACAAGAAGAAACTGAAAATGATGAGTTACTGGAGAGACTAAGAACGCTTTCAGACAGAATCATTTATTTATTCTGCAGATTTGATTTTTTTTTCATGTATTTGTTTATATGTGTGTGTGTTTGTGTGTGTAGAGAGAGATTGAGTGGGATATGGCAGATGCTCCGTTGTCTTATTAATGATGATTTAATGCACTGCACTGTCTTGGCACTAGATCTGTCAACTAATCCTCGGGTTTGTGCTCTTTTGAGTGTCAAGGATTTAACCGGCACTGTTTCCAGCTGACCTGAAACCAATTTGTGTTTTGTTAGGATTAAAGATTCAGATCAGAGAGTCAGACACTCAGTGCTGTCAGTGTTTCTCCATATGTATTTAACATATAATTAGCAATTCTACGATTGCTTGTTGGTCAGAACAAAAGCAGAGGGTCTGTTAACCACTGCGTCTGGGTAACTGTTCTTTTCCTTGTCTAGTTGATCATCATAACATCCATCACATCTTATCTGACCAATCACAGCCAAGCATTCAGATTCTACTAAGGCCTGTTTCACTGTCTGCATTGTGTGAAGTGCACATGTTCATTTTTGGCAGCCATGTTATTAAGTGCTTACAGCATTCATGCTAAACTCTTATTTACATGCAGTGATTGGCGCATACAAACCCTTTTGTTCAGTAAATCTGACTGAATTCAGACAATTTAAGCAATTTATAGCTAAACTTTGGAGTTTAGGTCCAATGTAGACTTGTTACCGTTCAAAAGTTTGGGATTGGTAAGAATTTTTTTTTTTTTTTTTTAAGAAGTCTCTTAGGCTCACAAAGGCTGCATGTAAAATGTAATTTATTCTTGTGATTAATTTTCAGCAGCTGTTACTTCAGTCTTCTGTGTCACATGATCTTCAGAAATTATTCTAATAAGCTGATTTGATGCTCAAAACAAAAATTTTTTTATTATCAATGTTGAAAACATTTGTGAAACATTTGGAAAGCGCGAGACGTTTTTCAGGGTCATAGAAAGAACAGCATTTATTTACAAACATTGGTAACATATAAATATCTTTACTGTCACTTTTTGATAGCTTAATGCTTCTCTGCTGAATAAAAGTATTAATTTCTTTAAAAAAAAAAAAAAAAAAAAAGATCTGACCCCAAACATTTAGATTTCATGCTAGTCAATTTTTTAACGTTCTATATGGCCCACTTCCAATAACCATTTTATAATTTAAAATAATAGGCTTTGTTTAGATACATTTTCAATCTTGTAAGCCAGGAATCACTTTGTTTTCTGTACAGTGAACAAAGTTCGTGTGAAAGCACAGTGCAAACCTGTTGTTGTAGCTGTTGCTTTGCTCACACTTTGCAGAAACAAAATGTGTGAAACGGGCCTAAAAGAAACCAAAGCATTAATGTTAGTCTTCCGAACTCTGAAATATTTGTTTACTCTTGCACTTTGTCATTCCTCAGGATGGGGTGGAAAGTGAGAACATCAGGAATACAAGGAGTAGAATGACTCCTCGCCTAACGCCTCATCAGGAAGAGGTGAGTGACCACATTCTAATACTCAAGCACTAAGTAAATTTATCAAAAAAACAAAAAATGTTCCATCATAAGGAAATCGATCTCACAGGTTGATACTGAAATTCAGGTTTAGATTAATTAAGAGATGTAATAAGTTAGAAATGAGGTGGAAGAAGGCGGTATAGCAAGAGAAAGTGGCTCAGAGTCACTGCATCACACACTCACACACACACACACACACACTCACTCAAAGACTGTGATTGAGAGAGTTGTGAATCCTGATCATAGCAGTGAGTGATGAACACTGTTCTCATTCCTCTCAGCCCTCTAATTACCAGAAGTCAAACCAAAAAGGAAAAAAAGACAAAACCATCCAGAAGATTGGAGACTTTCTTCAGGGCTCTCCTACCTTTCTTGGAAGTAAAGGTCTGGAAAAAACATTTTCCATCGTTATTACCCTTTTGCTAATAGACTCGGCCATCTTATTTGTCTGACAATCACATGCTTTCTTTGTTTCAGCAAAGAGGATCATGGTATTGATGAGCAGAAAGTCCCCTGATGGTGGGGCGATGTCTCTAAAACACAAATCCAAACGTGACAAACAAAAGCATGACAGACCAGATATCTCCTCCCCAATGAACATACCAGCCCATCAGGTACTGTACTGGTAAAATTACACTAATGTTCAAAATTTTGTGGTCTGTAAGATTTTTCTTTAGTGTTTTTGAAAAAAGTCCTATAAGGTCACCAAGGCTGCATTTATTTGATTACAAATACAGTAAAAACAGCAATAATGTGAAATATTACAATTCAAAATAAGTGTTTTCTATTTTAATATATTTTCAAATATAATTTATTCTCGCGATGGCAAAGCTGAATTTTCAGCAGCCATTACTCCAGTCTTCAGTTCACATGATCCTTAAGAAATTCTGATGTGTTGATTTGGTGCTTAAGAAACATTTCTTCTTCTTATTATTATTATTATTATCAATGTTGAACACAATTTTGCTATTTTTTGTGAAAACCATGATGCATTTTTTTTTTCTTTGATAAATAAAAGTTCAAAAGAACAGCATTTATTCGAAACAGTCTCACACACACTTTTGATCAATTTAATGCATCCTTCTTAAAATATAAGAATTAATTTCTTTAAAGAAAAAAAAACTCTTACTGACCCCAAACTTTTGAAAAGTAGTGTACTTTACGCTGTCAATGTGTACAATGAACTTCAACCTAAAATGACAATTACGTTCTTAGTGACAGTTGACATTTGACCTTTCTTGTAGATCATTGGCCGGAATCCAGAGGAGAAAGAAAGTGAAAACCTTATCAAGAAACGTCTTCGCACTAGAATTGTGAAATAAGCTGAAGGGAAATGTATTTTTATTCTGTATTTTGTATGTTTTTTTTGGTTTTTTTTTTTTTGTATTTTAAATCGACTCCGTTTTTAAAATCTTTTTTTTTTTTTTCTGATGCACTTTTCATTTACAATATCTATTATGTATTAGTTAAATTCTCTTTTTACTTTTTAGCAAATATGGCACATCATATATTATCCTGGAAATAAATGTACACTAGTGCCGCTTTTATTGGCAAGTTGAGATGATGGACAGTTTTCATAAGCTCATGTATGGAAGAATGAACTAATTTTTGCTGCTCAAGTTAGAATGGAAGTTCAGAAATCACTACTGCACATTTCTGACACAAGCTGTACGTTTAAACCACCGTTATTCGTTTACATTGTGCTTATGCTGCCCTGTATTTAAATGCAAATCTGTTGTTTCCCACTAACCACTTTCTACTTTTCAAGATATAAAAATGCACACACACAAAATATAGCACAAAGTAAAACTTCATGGGTTATTGTGATTTTAATTTTTCATCCCACTCTTCAACCTTCTTTTGTTCCTGTGTGTATCACCCTGTCACAAACCATTAATATGTGCCATTCACATGATAAAGACTCTCCATTACCACATCAGCAAAACTGTGCCAGATGCTTAATGACTCCCAAAGGACTATTCGTTTGAATTACTGAACAAATGCTTATGTAACAGAAGGGTAATTGAATTTCCCAAATGCAGCGCGTGGTCTTGTGCCCTTATCTAAGATTGCATAAAAGGAGCGAGGGGAAGGGTGAGGAACTGGGAACAGGTCTATGTCCTTGTTGGCTCTGAATGACAGGATGTGAACGGGGTGGCTGCTTGCAATGATGAATCACGGTTTTGATAGTGTTGAAAGTGTGGGAGCATGTGGTGAAGAAAAAATGGAGGAGTGAAAACCGACTGTGTGACGAGGAGGAATAAGGCGAGATGAAGAGAAAGAAAAAACCAAAACAAAATGAACCACGTGCAGCCCAGCTGTGCTTGTGGAGGTCTTTGTGGTGTAATTTTCCTCTGATTTCATAATTGTGAATGTTAGAAATGGGTTGTGAAAAACATGCCCTTATACGCATTTCCTTCCGGTCCACTTCCGCACACTGCATGATGTACATATGGATGTTTATGTGCTTCCCACTTAGTGTAGGGTCATTTTGTTTGTACGTGTTATATGACTTTTTTTTTTTTTTGTGACACAAGTTGAGTCATTGTCCGTGTCATTTGATTGCGTCACTTAATTGACGCATTGACAGTCTAGTCTTTTTATATTTTTTTCCAATTTATTTTTATCTCGTTCCTCTGCATGCAGAAAATGTCAGGGAGGCATGTAAGTAAGCATCGGCTTGATCCGAGGCATCCAGGCCTAGTAAACAATGCAGTAATAATCATCTGCCGTTCCTATAATTTAGGGCAGAAAATTACCACATCACATCATTTGAAATGATAAACAGGCAGAGTGCAGCTGCACATTGCATTTAAAGGTGTATGAGGTACGCCCAAAAAAAAAAACTAAGGCCTTAATTTAAAATTTATGTTTGAATTGTATATCAAATTTACATCAAAAAGTTTTAAACTTAATGTGATGCACCTTTGTCAGTCAGATAAAGTAACAGATAGATAGAGAATATAGGCCCTATTTATTATCAGTAAATCTAATTTATTTCAAGCTCATACATTTAAACTAATTGAATGTTGCTTGCTCCACAGAGCAATATTTTAACCATGTTCATACTTATAACTAAATACATTTAATTATTTTCACAATGAACAGATTTATGCTGATTCTAAGCAATTTGAATAAATGCGTTTTGAAATGTTATGATTATTTAATATGATTATTTAAATAAAATCAAGAGTGCCGAAATCTTGGCGTTTTATACCTTTGTTTATTTATTTATGACTGACAAATATGCATAACATTAAGTTTGTTAGTTTATGTTAAAACTATTCAAAATGGATGGAAATTGTTATAGGCAATTCAAATACACAAGTCTTAAATTTATGCCTAAATATTTTTAATGGCAGTGCGGAATGAAAAAAAATCAGGGTTTCGATGTGCATTTTTATATTATTTTATATTGTTCATTTTTATTTATTTATTTTAAAAGTTGCCTTTCTTAAATCATGCGGTGCTACTGTTAATGACGTCAGTCTAGCATGTTTTAACCGCTCCCAAAACGCGTTTTTAAAGGGGTCATATGATGCGATTTCAAGTTTTCCTTTAAAAAAAAAACTTTTTCCTTTTTTGTTACAAAAAAAAAGTGAAAGTGACGTGACGTGGCGACCCATACTTGGAATTAGTGCTTTAACCCATCCAAAGTGCGCACACACACAGCAGTGAACACACACCCGGAGCAGTGGGCAGCCATTTATGCTGCGGCGCCCAGGGAGCAGTTGGGGATTCGGTGCCTTGCTCAAGGGCACCTCAGTCGTGGTATTGAAGGTGGGAGAGAACTACAATGTATTACTGCCTTAGTCAGACTTTTGATGACTGCAGCACCACGCAGCGCGTTCTCAATAAAGAACTCTGCTGAAGATACCCAAGAGTCTCCTGGTCTCTGCTTCGACGAGGAAAAAGTTTCCTACACTGTTCAAATACCGCGGCTTGTGTACTGCATCATCACTGTGTCTGTCACGCGACTCTGTTGCCCTTTCGGGCTTGAACTGATGGTAAAACTAACTACATTATTAACTGTCTTGATATTTACTTTGAAAGCTGAAGCTCGCGATTATGGTAAGGGGCGTTACATTTCCGACGCATGCTTGTGGTGCTCGGCCAATCACAATGCACTGGGTAAGCTGGCCAATCAGAGCAGACTGTGCTTGTCAAAGGAGGGGGCTTTGTTGAAAACGACGTGTTTGAGAGAGGCGGGGCATAGAGGACCTACAATAATGTACAGTATTTGAAAAATAATGTGTTTTTTGATTCTGTTACACCAAATACACAAAATAATGATCTTTAAAATAGCATCATATGACCCCTTTAAAACCTTTAACTTGACAAGTCGTGTTCTTGGCGCTTGTCAAAACAGTCAAAAATGTCCATATTACGCCTATAGAAAAATAATGAATTCTTTGTGAATGAATTTACTGTTCTGGAACTTTACATAAGTGGACCTCTATTGATTTTTATATAAACGCATATGTGAGCATTTCTTCAGCATAGGCACTGCTGGTCACAGCTACTGAGGTGCTTGGGTTGCTTTTAATTTTTTCCCACATCAAAAACAGCAGTGACACATTCATGTGTGTTTGTGTGTGTGTTTTCAAAAGCATTTAGCACCTGCTGTTACATACTTTTCACACCTCCACCAGCACCCTGCAGTTCCGAGTGATTCTGGACTTTGTGTATTTATCGTCTACAAACATAATGGGTTTATCATGTAGGGTGTTGTGAGTTTGGTCTAATAACCCCTGATGAATGTACATGCTGGGCCTTTTATCACAGAAGCAATTCACCATATCAATCTATATTAGAATTGCATAATGATTTTAACCCTTTGATGCACATCATGGGTCTAATGTGAGTTTATTTGTCTATATCTTTGCAAAAAATTAATTTCATTATTCAGAATTCCAGGAATTCCTCAATTAACTTGTTTTTGATCATCACACATCCTTGTTTTTATTTTTATTTCTTAATTTTTTAATAAAAATCATTTTTGTATCACTACCCCTCTAATGCACAACATGGGTCTAAAATGACCCTTAGTCATTTCCTATGTTATTTCAGCTATATGGATGAGTGTTTTTTTGCTGAATATCTAAAAGAAGTGTTTTTCTATAATTTATTAATCCAGATAGCCTTGAAATATATTGGTTTTTACTTCCACAAATCATTATGTTTATTTGCCCTTTCTTTACTTTATAAAAAACAGTTTTTGTATTTCTACATGAATTTTACACACATGGGTCAAAAATATCGCGTTTGGTCTCGTTCTGTATCGCGTCTCTTGTCAGTGTCTGCGCTTGCTTGGCCATTTGTTGTGGAGAAAATAAGGAAAGTGTGTTCAAGCGCCAGCAGAAAACAGTGTAAAGAAAGTCGCTTTGGATAAAAGCGTCTAATAAATTACTAAATAAATATATAAATGACCCATATAGAAACCTTCAATATTTGCAATTTGTTTGCAAGTAGGAACATATTTACTGCAGAAAACTATTCACCTGCCCCACATTTCACAACTCAACATGGCTGCTTTTGTATAATTGATGCATTTAGACTTAGCTAATGTTAGCTAGGTCAACAAAATAAAAGTCAAAATAATATGTTATTATTATATACAAGTATGTATCATTGCTGTCAGGTGGAAACCTTGTATCTCCACATTTCATCATTTTTATTTTTTGTCGTAAATCAATACTATTGGTCACCCTTTATATCTGCCAGTGTTCCTGAAAAGTAATGGTTTTGGACATAAAAGGTTTCTGTCTGACAGCGACAATATATGATCAGTATATACATGTTCAACTGCTTGTTTTGTATTTGAACAACAATTTCTTTTGATTTTCTTTATCTAGAGTGTTAGTATGACTGATCCCAGACATTCTAGATTAACGGCTGAAATGTTTGTAGAGATGCTGCATGATGAGGAAGATCAGGCAATACTTAGTCCTGATTCAGAGTCTGAAATATCTGATGCTGATTACCTAGACCAGTGTTTCCCAACCTTTTTTTAGTCGCGGCACCCTTTGGAAATTTTTTCAGTGCCTACACCAGGGGCGGCCAACATCAGTCCTGGAGAGCCAAACCCCTTGTCCAAATACCCACACTTGCGGTCTTGGCCACTTGATGCAGAGTTCATCTCCAACCCTAATCAAACACACCCGAACAAGCTAATCAAGGTCTAAGGGTAACTAGATAGCTTCAGGCAGGTGAGTTTTTATCAAGGCTGGAGCAAAACTCTGCAGGTCTGTGGCTCTCCAGGACAGACGTTGGCCACCCCTGGCCTACACCACCTTCACTGTACAAAACCCTGATTACATGGGTGGTGTGACTAATGCATGACAGCTATTCATCTATAGGAGCTGGTCAAAGAACTTGTCATGCCACATACGAAGAGGCATTTGGAGGACATGCACCACCTGGCCAGAAGTATACATCAGGCAGAAGGGTCAATCAAAAAGAAAGAGGTGCCGGATCTGCCCTGCTGCCAAAGACAGACAAGTCAGCAGCTGGTGTTCAGTGTCAGGCCTGTTTGCAAGGAGCACAAACCTGTAGTTGTCATTTGTGAGGCATGTAAGCACTGAGATGGCAATTTAAGATGGTGCTGTACCTGTGTGATTTTATTTTGTTAATTTTATTTTCATCTATTCGGTCACATTCACTACAGTTGCACTACAGAGAGTAAACTTTCAGTGTTATCAGTTATCAGTGATATGTGCGTGTTATGTGTGACAAAGTGGCAAATAAACATATTTCAAGAGTTAAATGTGCTGGTCTAAATAACTGCTAAAATAATTATTTTAACAAAATGTCTTTATTCTTTTGTTTTATCATGCTTGCATAGATGGGTCATTTTTGACCCATGTGTATAAACTTGATGTAGTAACAAAAAACCTATGAAAAATATAAAATATAAATTTGTGGTCATTGTGAAAAGAT